GGAGGAAGGAAGGAAGCGAGGGAGGGAGGGAGGAAGGAGAAGAAAAGAAAAAACGAAATGTTTTCTCTGAGCAGGTTCCCTCTCCGTCTCCATGGGCGGCCACCAAGGGGATGGGCACGGAGCTGTCCTCGAAGGGTCTTCGCCAAGCCCCAGTGAAGGGAAAATGGACGCCAGCTGCTTCCCCTCTCCGCCCTGTGCTACCCGCTTCGCCGTCCCCCTCCTGCCGTCCTTTCCTCTCACCCTTGGTTCCGTCGGGAGCTCTGCACATCCAGCAGCAGCCATGCTTGCTTCGAAACGTTCCCGACGTTGCAGCTTCGCGCCTTCACGTGGCTGGGGGCTCCACTCTCTGCAACAAGGATTTAATGCGCTGTCTTGGGATGGACCTCGAGCTTGGAGCCCAGAGGTCTCCACTCCTGACTGTCAGAGTTAACTTGCTGCCTCCTGTGGGGGTGGGTAATGGAACCTATGAGGAGTCGATGCGCTCCTGCTTGGGAAGTGCCTGGCAGGGAGTCCAGCAACTTCAGGCTGGCAGGTGTCATCGCCGTCAGGTGTCCCATCTCCCGTGGGGGCTGTCCTAACACACGACTCCCTCCTCCAGGCCCGGAGACCCCGGCTTCTCCCGTGCCCCTCCCCTGAAGGAGGCGTGGCCATCAGGGATCCCAGCCCCCATAAGCCGAGTGCTCTTCTTAGTGGAATTTGGCAAAAAACCACAGGCTGCGGAGTTGGGAAGCTGGATAGATTGGGGTGGAGACCCCAGGGAAAGGCCAACAGCTGGAGGACCTCAGGTGTCCCGGCTGTGCCCATCCAGCTGTGGGACCTCAGCACGTCCTTGGGCGCCTGGGTGGCCTGTTTGCTAAGGAGACAGTCTCTGAGGTCCAGCACACCCACTGGGACCCGATCAGTGAGACCAGGGCTGAGCCGGGCCAGGGCAGAGTGGGGAGAGGACTACATAAATATGCATGGATAATTTCCCTTGAAATCCCGCAGAGCCCAGAACTAAAACTTTTCTGGTTTTAGTTCTTCTGCAGGCCACCTCCTGTTTTAGGAGGATTATTGGTCAAAGAGTTGGCAGGAATCCCTTCTTGCCAGGCTCTCACATAATAGGTTATTTTATTTTATTTTTTAATTTTACTTTTGAGGTGGAGTTTCATTCGTTGCCCAGGTTGGAGTGCAATGACGTGATCTCGGCTCACCGCGACCTCCGCCTCCTGGTTCAAGCGATTCTCCTGCCTCAGCCTCCTGGGTAGCTGGGATTACAGGCATGTATTATCACACCCAGCTAATTTTGTATTTTTAGTAGAGACAGGATTTCACCATGTTGGTCGGGCTGGTCTCAAACTCCCGACCTCAGGTGATCCGCCCACCTTGGCCTCCCAAAGTGCTGGGATTACAGGCGTGAGCCACCGCACTGGGCCCATAATAGGTTATTTTATAAGTAGTGACTGAAATGCTCAAAAGCACAAGAGCTATCAGAAGGATTGCTCAGCACAGTATTTTTTTCTCACGATTCTGGCCACACTCATTTCTTGGCTCTTCACAGACGAGGTCTCTCAGTGCATTGATTTGCATATCCAAGCACTAGAGAAATAAAGAGGCTCATTCCTCATCAATTTCCCTGAACATGACCTCATTATTCTTCTCTCCTAAACCTGGGATGATCGGCAGAAACTAAATACAATTGTTAGGTAAAACAAAGACGGACACCTGTGAATGTCACATCTCGTGTTCAGGCATTGAAACTTTCCAAGCATATCTCACCCCCACCCCCACGTGGAATTCCACTGATAGTGTCCGGCCACGGAGTCAAAGGCGTGGCTGCCTCTATCACTCTACTCTTACTGGTTCCCTCTGTTCTTCCTGGATGGGCCTGCCAATCAGATACCGTGACTCACTTGGAAACACTCCTTTCCATTTCACTACACCTGTAGAAGCAAGTTTCCTGGTTCAAAGGCCTGTGTCCAGTTCCCTCAGTTCTGTGACCGTGGGGACTGGCCCATCACAGAAGCTCAATACTGGCCAGCTCATGGGCTGGGAGGCTCAGCTATAGCGTTTCCTATTGGTTCCTGCCAGTCTCCTTCCCCAGGGCAGTAAGGGTCCCCCCGACAGGGATGAGAGCTGGAAAGGCAGTACTCAGGGGCACGGCCAGAGACATTTGCTAGTCACCCCACCCTCAGGAAATGGAGAGGCACCGCTCCAGGGTGAGAGGGGACAGCAGTGTTTGAGGGGCTCTGAGATGGATCCTGTAGTTCCAGGAGACCGTGACAACAATGGTTCCAGCTGGCACACTTAAGAGTTTGGCAGACGCCAGGATCTATGATAAGAGCCTTACCTGCCCTATCTCAACGAATCCTCACAATAACCCAGTGAGGTAGGCACCGGCCGCCATTTCCCCTACCTGTTCTCCCTGGAGGAGTGTGACAGGGGAGCCAGTACCAGGTGGGGAGCAACGATTGAGAAGTTGGCCAGCCTGAGGCAAAGCCAGGGGCCACCGCACTGCGCGCTGGTATTTGGAAGATCTGAGCTGGCCCTTGAGGTGTCTGCCCCATGTGACCGTCTCACCGGCTGCGTGGGAGGCAGGATGGATTCCGCACCCACACCTGGACTCTACTGCTGTGGATTGCGTTCTCTGGTCAGACGCTGTGCCATTAGTGATATCGTGTCTCTGAATGACTTGCTGGGTAAGACCTAGTGTGAATTCTGCTAGGGCTGATTTACTGGGCAGTCGACCCCATATCCTGAATAAGAATCCAACTGCTCCAAGGATATGCATTTGGCCATGATAGAAAAGATGAGCCCCCACACGGTGGCTCACGCCTGTAATCCCAGCACTTTGAGAGGCTGAGGTGTGCAGATCACTTGAGGTCAAGAGTTCGAGACCAGCCTGGTCAACACAGTGAAACCCTATCTCTACTAAAAATATAAAACTTAGCCGCGCATGGTGGGCCTATAGTCCCAGCTACTCGGGAGGCTGAGGCGCAAGAATTGCTTGAGCCCAGGAGACGGAGGTTACAGTGAACCGAGATCGCGCCACTGCACTGCAGCCTGGGCAACAGAACAAGACTCTGTCTCCAAAAAAAAAAAAAAAAAAAGAAAGAAAAAAGAAAAGATGAGCCGCCAGCACGGTAGCACACGCCTGTGGTCCTGGTGACTCTGGAGGCAAAGATGGGAGAATTGCTTGAACCCTGGAGGTGGAGGCTGCAGTAAGCTGAGATCCCGCCACTGCACTCCAGCCTGGGTGACAGAGTGAGACTCTGTCTCAGAAAAACAAACAAAAAAGGCCAATGGCCAGAGTGGCTGACTGGACACTACCTCAGCCCAGAAATCCACGTGGTCATGTCCTTTTGAAACTCTACCATCCAAGTATGTGTCTCAAGTTCCAGGGCGAGGGTCCTTCACCCTCATGTGTGGTGCATCCTTGAGGCCCTTTGGAAAGAATAGGAAGGGCCATCTCTGAACCCCAACAGTTCTGAGATAGGCAGTGCCTCACGGTAAGTGAGCTCACGGCCTCCAGGTGTCAGTAGGGGGCGCCTCCTGTACCCAGGTAGCTCCAACCCACTGTATTCCAGGCATCTCGCAGCTGCCACTGAAACAACGCAGCTCAGATTTGCCTCGGTTGAGGTGGACCCAACCCACTTAGGCAGCTCCTGAAGCAGAGGTTGGAGTCGCTCTGTTGGCCTGCCCACTTCAAGAAAGGTCCAAATAAGGGACCAGCAAAAGTTGTTGAAGGGAAGCTCACTACTAGATAGGCCTGGGGAGCCAGAGGCCAACCCCGTTGTCCCCCAAATCCCACCCAATTACAAACAAGTCGTTTTTCACTTCTGGTACCAACCTCTATAAATAAAATAGATAATAGATATGTAGATGACAGATAGATTTTAAAGTATCAATATAGGTACTATTTTTATCTACCTATCATCTATCTATCTATCTATCTATCTATCTATCTGCCTATCTAGCTATCTATTCATTTGCTGTCGCCCAGGCTGGAGTGTAGTGGTGTGACTATGGCTCACTGCAGCCTCAATCTCCTGGGCTCAAGTGATCCTCCTGCCTCAGCCTCCCGAGCAGCTGGGACTACAGGCATGCAGCACCATGCCCAGCTAATTTTTGTATTTTTAGTAGAGACGGGGTTTCACCATGTTGGTCAGGCTGGTCCCGAACTCCTGACCTCAGGTGATCCACCCGCCTCAGCCTCCCAAAGTGCTGAGATTACAGGCATGAGCCACCATGCCTGGCCAAATTTAATTTTTTAAATAAAGACAGGGTCTCACTCCTGGGCTCAAGCGATCCTCTCATTGAAAATTAGCAAGGTGAGTTTTTCATATGTGAGTTCCATTTTACTGTAAATTTAACCAGAATGAGATAGCCTCCCCGAGTGATCAGCTCAGTGGTATGGGAAGTATCAAGTTACAAAACTGAAACCCAGACCCTGCCC